CTGTTTTCCCTCCTTTCTGTCATTACCTAATTGAAACATCAGGGTTTGTACATGGAATCCTGGAAAGTCTGCATACTGGCTGTCAGCACCAGCTTTTCTCATTCCGCCACTCACTTTTAGACCAGGGTTCCTGACTCTTGTTGTTTCCAAAACTTACTTTAGGGCTGTTTTAATCCCTAAGAGGAAGACATGTGGCCCTTTTCTGTGCAGGTACCTCATCCCTCTTCCCCCAAAAGACCCCATCTCTCTAGCCACATACTAGTGGTTTATCTCTGAGCATACCATGATATGCCACAGCTCTATGCCTTTGCTTCTGTGGTGCTTTTGTGGAAATGCCCTGCCCAACCCAGTGTCCCAGTAGACCAGACAGACGCATATTTATCCTTGAGGACTCAAATTTGTTTTTCTGTAATTTTTGTGTACTGTTTCTCCATCTGAACTCATAGTTGTCTATAAACTTCTGTTGTCACTGCTTTTATAACTGATCACCTATTTGTGCCTCCTATTAAAGAACTGAGGGTAGAAATGCTATGTTTTGCTGTGTGCAGTGTGTCATGTGAGAGGCAAAGGTGAGAGGAGGATTGCCTGAGTCCAGGAGCTTGAGACCAGCCTGTGCAACATAGCAAGACACCGTCTTTCTTCCAAAAAATTAAAAAATTAGCTGGGCAAGGTTGCATGCCTGGAGTCCTAGCTACTCTGGAGGCTGAGGTGGGAAGATCCCTTGAGTCCAGGAAGTCGAGGCTTACAGTGAGCTATGAGTGCACCACTGTGCTCTAGCCTGGGTGACACTGACAGACTTTGTCTCAGGAAAAAAAAGAAAAAATTTTTCATCTTGCCATCTTTTTTCATTTATGGATCCCCAGCATGCTACTAGACAATAAGTAAGTTAGTAGACCTTTGTTGAACTGAAGGTTATGGAGACATTGAAGTCCTGGGGCTAACAGAAGAGAGAAATCAAGTCACACCAGTTATTGAATGTATTTTTTTTAATTATACTTTAAGTTCTAGGGTACATGGGCACAGCGTGCAGGTTTGTTATATATGTATACTTGTGCCATGTTGGTGTGCTGCACCCATCAACTCGTCATTTACATTAGGCATATCTCCTAATGCTATTCCTCCCCCCTCCCCCCTCCCCCCACCCCACGACAGACACCGGTGTGTGATGTTCCCCTTCCCAAGTCCAAGTGTTCTCATTGTTCGATTCCCACCTATGAGTGAGAACATGCGGTGTTTGGTTTTCTGTTCTTGTGATGGTTTGCTGAGAATGATGGTTTCCAGCTTCATCCATCTCCCTACAAAGGACATGAACTCATCCTTTTTTATGGCTGCATAGTAATTTTCCATGGTATATATGTGCCACATTTTCTTAATCCCGTCTATCATTGATGGACATTTGGGTTGGTTCCAAGTCCTTGCTACTGTGAATAGAGCCGCAATAAACATATGGTCACACCAGTTGCAGTAGGTCCTTCTAAAAAAAATCCCATTTCAACTAAATTATATCTAAAAATTAAAGGTTGACCTTTTATTTTAAGTAATACGTGACCCAACATACTTAGTTATAACAAAAGGTTTTTAGCAAAGATTTCACCTGTGCTTAAGTGTCAGCGGTTGGTTTTCTGCATAATGTATGTTTTTGTGCAGTATGTGTACCATCCTGTGACCTAGACTAGTTGGTGTTAGTTACAAGGGCCCTGGATGGGTATGAGAGATGGATGGTACCCTCTCCTGAGGGCTGTGAATCTGCAGTGGGAACAATGTCACACACATTCCTCTAAAGATGGAAAAAAGCTCAGAGGTCAAAAAACTTACCCCTAGCCCATCACCTTTTTTTCCCCCTTTAACCTCTAAGTGAAAAACTGCACACAGTTTTCTTCAGGTATACTGTCTAAAATCTTGTGTCTCCTTCAACACTTCCTTTGATATATATGGGCGATAGAGATGAAGAAAAGGAGAAATGGGAAGGGCGAAAAAAATAAAAATGTATGTAAAATAATTTGATTCAAGATGACCTATTTTCTAAATTCTTAGCACTGATATTTTGGACCATTAAGGTATGTAGACTCTGTACTTGTGACTTTTCAAGAGAATGAACAAGATTGCTGGTTTGGAAAGGTGGGTAGGATTTGGAAATCTCAGGGCAGCCAGCCTCTCGACTTATTAAATAGCAGGTTATTAGGTGAAGCTTCAAAGAAAGTTTGGTTTTAAGTGGGGAGACGGACATCACAGTTTGCCAGGACCAATCCCAGTTTGCATTTGAGGTTCCAGCATAATTATTAACAGTGCCCTCTGATTCTTGAAAGGTTCTGGTCTGGAATGGTCGTTCTGGATTTGGGTCATACAGGTTGGAGGCTATTGGCATGATGGAAGGAAGAGAGTGCAGAAGGCTGAAGGGAGAATTATCTTATGAGAGTAATTTCTGTTCAGAGTTTTCCTTTAAAGGCTTCTTGTAATGCTTTCTGAAATGCCTTACAGACTTTCTTCTGACGCACTTTGGACATCAGTTTATTTTTCTTTGGTGCAGCTTGTATAGGGCCAATGTGTCTCAGCGCAACCTAGATTTCTTTTAAACTCGTGGGCAGCAATGCTGCCTGTGTCAGTAATTCAAACTTGGACAGATTGGCTGTGAATGGGGTGATAAGAATAGAGAGAAACACATACCAGTAGACCAAACTTCCTGTGCACAAGCCTTTGAATACTGCGTTTCACTGTCTGAAATAGCATTCATCTTAAGGCTGGGATCATTTATTCCCTTTGGAATTAAGCAATACCACTGGCAGAAAAAGAAACTATTTTGGGAAGGCCATGTGGGAGGAATTTTTCTATGTATTCCAGGTGAGACAGAAAGATCTTTCATGCTTTTGAACACCACACCTTAGTGCCCAGGTAATTGGAAATGGACAACTTTCAGATAATCTCAAATGTTTATGCCAAGGCTAATGTATACATGTTATACTAAAAAGATTAGGAAAGACTGAGTTTAGATGCTTCAACTTAATTACCTAAGTGGCAGAAAAAGAACTTTTCTTTAGAGACTCGCCTCTAATATAGACGCTATTGAGAAGTAAAATGCAGCATCTTGTCCCTCTCCCTCTCCTTACGTATGCTCTTGGAGGTTGTTTTTGCATATGCCCCCGTAGACTTTTCCAGATTGTTGGAGAAGTTTAAAATAAGGCAATGAAGGCTATGTTCCCCCAACCCCACCCCCGCTTCCTCCCTATAAAGCTGAGGTGGGCAGGGCTTGGCAGCTGGTAGAAACTGCAGAGATAAATAAGTACCAGGGCTCCTGGATGGACAGGGTGCAGAAGAGCCCAAGATGAGAGTGTGTAGCTATGAGTGCCTGCCGTGGGAAGAGGCCATGAGGATGGAGCTGCAGCTGGAGTCCAGAAGTTCAGGCAGTGAAAGGGAGGTGCGAGCTTGTAGGAACTAGTTTATTAGTCCTTTTGATGAAGCTATTGCTCTTTTATTTTTTTGTTGGGGGATTACTTTAAAGGGCAAATGTAAGTCAGATACACCTTAAATATCTGTCTTGTCATTTAAGTAATGTATTTAATGGAACCTAAGGAGTTATGTTGGTCTCTTCTATTTGACTTTTCTACTTGTTAATAGCATCAACTAATAAAAAGCTAATTATCTTATAAAGTTTGTCTTTACAAATTAGCTGCAATTGAAATGAGAACAGCAGTCCAGTGATGCTTAATATTTTTCTGCTTTATTGCTGATAAGCAGTTTGGAAAATGTTTTTCTATGGAGAACATGTGAAGCCTCCTCTCAGTGTGGTAAATGTGATCACAACAGATGGTTTTTGTTTTTAGTTCTTTTTTCACTTTGGCCTTGGAATTAACGTGAAAGGTAAAGATGTTGAGATTTCCTACCTTAAGCAATGCTGTCTAGGTTTATGAGAAGCAGAGAAGCATTTCGTAAATTATATCCTGTTGCTCACAAACTATATAATTAACTTAAAGTTCAAAATCATAAATATCTATCTGTTGCATGGGGAGTCTGGTAAGATTGTAGTAATGTTATAGACATCAATGGCCTATGTATTTATTTTTAAAAAACAAATTTTATTTTCTAGCTAAATTAATCAAAGATTTAATGACCTCTGAATTTGAGTTACATCCGAGTCTATCTGGACTTAATGTGAAATGTTCTTCATTTTAGTGCAACATTCTATCTTTTTTACAATTTTAATTATATAAGAAATTAGTAGAGAAAGACCATTATATGGTGACCAGGCATTAAAAAGTTTTGAAAATTTTCAAAATTTTCAAGAAAAAAAATTGAAGACATAGATAAGTCTTTTAAATTAAAAGATTCAGTAAGTAGCTGTTTTTGTCTTTGTGGGTCTAGCACACAGTCTAACAGTAGGATAATATTTAGGAAGTTAGAGAATTAATTTTAAGCACAAATATTAAGTCAGTAGTGATGAAAAAGCTAGATATTGTTGAAGGTAGATAAGTAGAGGGTGGGAAGGAGGATAGACAGGAAATGGAGGTTTAAAAAAAAAATGAGTTTGGTGCAATGGCACGTGCCTGTAATCTCAGCGACTTTTGGGAGGCTGAGGCAGGAGGATCACTTGAGTCCAGGAGTTAAAGTGAGCTATGATTGTGCCACTGAACTCCAGCCTTTGGGACAGAGTAAGACCTTGTCTTTCTCCCTAACCTCACCCTTCAGAAACCTGGGGGAATTGATAAGTCATGAAAACGCTTACTGAGTGCTGATGTGTGCTAGGGCCAGCCTGTGATATACCAATAAAGGGGAGAGAGTAGAAGCCAGAATTGAGTTTGGCAGGCAAGTTGGGCATTGTTAAACCCCATTTCACCTGGATCTTTAAATGCATCAGTCAAAGATTATGAAAATCATCACCAGCCAAGTGTTTGTGGGTTTATGTAAGGAATGCCAGCACCAGTTGTCCCAGCCTCTTCAGTCTTTTTATTTGGAGTTGTGTTCATTCTCACAAACCCCCTGACCTCCCCCTCCTCTCTGTGTTCTAGGAGAGACAGCGTCTGGAGACCATCCTCAGTCTCTGTGCTGAATACACAAAGCCTGACAGTCGCTTATCTACTGGGACCACTGTGGCAGATGTGCAGAAAATCAACAAGGAGCTTGAGAAGCTGCAGCTCTCTGATGAGGAGTCTGTGTTTGAAGAAGCCCTCCTGAGCCCTGACACAAGATACAGGTGCCACCGGAAAGACTCCCTCCCTGATGCAGACTTGGCAAGCTGTGGGAGTCTCACTCAGAGCAGTGCCAGCTTCTTTACCCCCAGGAGCACCAGGAATGATGAACTACTCAGCGACCTCACCCGGACTCCGCCACCACCATCCTCCACCTTTCCGAAAGCTTCCAGCGAATCCTCTTATCTAAGTATCCTACCAAAGGTAATGTTGGCCCAGCAAAGACATTAGGATTTAAGGCCTAGGGCTGTACATATGCTTTGACGTGGAAACTGGTGATTTTATCAGGCTGATTATCCAGGATGTTTTCAGTGAAGTTTCAATTTAAGAGGTCATTAGCTGAGCAAGGTGCAGCAAATTAGGGTGTTTACTGTAAAGTAACACATTTGCACTGTAAAAAAAAATGTAGCAGCACAGAAAGTAGAAAGAAAGAACATTTCTCTTTTCCCTGCACCCTTTCAGTTGTGCACCTGAGTAATAAGCAGGTGTAAAACTGGTGCTAAAATCATCTTACCTGCCTTCCTAATATTTTCTGTGTATATGTGGCTGTTATAGGCATAGACAGACACACATACATAGTGTTCTGTACTTTTCTTCCCTCACTAAATGCCTTGGGCATCTTTCCATATTAGTATACACAGCTCTACCTCATTCTTTTTAATGACCAATTGCTTTTCTTTTGTTTGCAACTACCATTTATTTTCAGGTTTTTTTGCTAATAAAATCCATATGCAGCAAATATTGTAGCATATATATATTTGCACAATTCTGCAAATGTGTCTGTGGGATCACTTACTAAAAGTGGAATTGCTGGGTCAAAGAGTTTGTGTATTTTCCATTTTACTCAATATTTCCCAACTGTACTTCCAAAAGACCATATTAAAAAAAGAGCCTATATATCCAGGTGACACTTTGACTAAGTTTATATGCACACCTTGTTCTCCATACACTTGCCAAGGTTGCATATTGTCAAAATTTTTCAATTAGCCAAATTGATAGAAGTTTAATTTGCTTTTCTTCAATTATGCATCAAGTTGGGGATCTTTTCATATTTTTAGTTACTATTTGTAATTTGACCCACTTATTCATGTTCTTCACCCATTTTTTTAATTGTTTTATTTGTCTTGTATTTTACTGAGTAGTAAGAGCTGTTTGTGGTAAGCAGATTAGCCTTTTATCATAAGTAGTCTTTATTTTGACTTTATTTATATTTTTTGGACATAAAAGATTTATTTGTACACATAAGTACTAGTCTTCTGGTTGTGTATGTTGGTTTAAAAATGTTGTCATTGGCCGGGCGCCGTGGCTCATGCCTATAATCCCAGCACTTTGGGAGGCCAAGGCGAGCGGATTATGAGGTCAGGAGATCAAGACCATCCTGGCTAACATGGTGAAACCCCGTCTCCACTAAAAATACAAAAAATTCCACGGGCATGGTCGCGGGAGCCTGTAGTCCCAGCTACTCCGGCGGCTGAGGCAGGAAAATGGCGAGAACCCGGGAGGCGGAGCTTGCAGTGAGCCAAGATTGCACCACTGCACGCCAGCCTGGGCGACAGAGCAAGACTCCGTCTCAAAAAAAAAAAAAAAGTTGTCCTTTGAGGATTTATTAAATGGAGTTTAAGGAAAAATCTTTTTAAATGTTTTTTTCTTTTTCTTTTTCTACAGGACTCAGAACCCCAAAAATCTTTTGTTATTACGTTTTTTTCACACAGGTTAAGAATTTTTTTCTACAACAATTTAGGTTTTAAATTTCTCCACTTTTAATAATGATTTGAAGGAGCTTACAATGAAAGATGTAAATTTTATTAGACTAAAATTAGAATAACAAAAATAGTAAATAGGAGGAAAAAGCAGATACCGTATTCACGAGGTGGATTTTCTTATTTAGGAATAAGTAGGATTAATGTGTTGATTTGCTTAATTCACAGTTACTATTAAGTTCAACTGTGAGATTCTTTAGTTAATCTTTTGCTGTAAGAGAAGGACACATTGACTGTTGAAGAGAAAGATACTGTCATGGTACTAAATCCTGGCAGTAATTTATCACATGGACATTGTTCAGGGGAGTTTGTGTGTTTGTTTAGCTACAGCAAGACTTTTACACTGAATGTTCCTAGTCAGAAATCCTTATCTACGTAGTGAGTTTTTCCATTATACACATCAGGACTTTGGACTGTTGAATACATGTTGGAGAACAATCCCATCTTTTTCTTTCTTTTTTTTTTTGAGACAGAGTCTCGCTCTGTCACCCAGCCTGGAGTGCAATGGTGCGATCGAGGCTCACTGCAACCTCTGCCTCCCAGTTCAAGCGATTCTCCTGCCTCAGCCTCCCGAGTAGCTGGGACTACAGGCGCACGCCACCATGCCCGGCTAATTTTTGTATTTTTAGTAGAGACGAGGTTTCACCATGTTGGCTAGGCCTGTCTCGAACTCCTGACCTCAAGTGATCTGCCTGCCTCGGCCTCCCAAAGTGCTGGGATGACAAGGGTGAGCCACTGAGCCCTACCCATCCCTTCTTTTTGCTAGTGACTGTGTTTACCTTACTAATTCTCAATGGAGAGTAATTCTGAACATTCCTGGTTAGAAACCAGGATAGGGAAGAAAATTGGGGCAGGGAGGAATCAAAAGTTGTTGCTGTTCAGGCACAGTAAATGACCCATCACTTGAAAAGTTGAGCTGTCCTCATCAGCCATTGGGCTTCTTTAGAAACCCTTGGCTTCCTTTTGATTTTAAATCTTTTCACAGCTCTTCCTTTATGGAGATCTGCGAGTTTTTTGTTAAGAACATTAAGCTGCGTGCTCTCTCTAAAGACTATCTTTTGGAAGACAGGTTTCCTCCTGGAGAGGGCTATGACAAGAATGCTGTTGGTGTGTACATGAGCAGATCTTGGCAGATGTTTTTAATTGCTCAAGCATATAATTGTGGAATAGGAGGCCTCTGAAGCTTAGTGCAGCATCTGTTGTTGCAAGAGAGGTAAGACTCTGCATCCTTTAGAGGCAGGAAACATCAAGGACACCCAGGTTACCACACAGCAGCGTAGAAAGAGTACGAGTGAGGGAGGCTGATGGGTTCCAAGAAACACTTTTTTTACTTATTACTTTCAGAAGTTAGATATTAACTTGAGACAGCAGATAGGAAATTCTTTAAAAAAAAAAAAAACAAAAAAAACCTCCTATTTGTTTCGCATGCTCTTTCTCTTCAATTAATTTCCACACTGGAGTATTTGCCTAACAAAGTACAATGTTAATAATCGATTTAGGGATAAATGGAGAAGAGAGGAGTGTGAAAAACACTGTAAGTTGACTTAACTATACAAAACAATCTTAATGATATATAGGAAACCTGAGAGTTACCGATCAAGAACTTGCTTTATGTAACACTTACAGATGCAGATGACTTTGGAAATATGCTAATTTTAGTTGGCTTCTGAACCACCTCTTGAGGTAAAAGTTGTCTGGAAAGTGGCTCATCTTTCTGCTTTTGAGTCCTTTGCACCCCTCTCTCCTTTGGCTGCAAAAGGGTTTTAAGAAGAAATCTGTGAAAAAGGGGCAAGCAGAAAGTGTCGTTTCCCCTAACATCTCTCCTCTTTCCTGTGTGGATCCAGTTTCCCCAAAGATAACATATTAGAGGATGCACATACACGTGTAATGTGCTTATTAAAACACGTCACTGTTAGATTCCTGTCCATTACTGGAAAAAAAAATTCCCAGAGAAATTAAAATGAAGGGCATATGTTTAAAATTACAATGTTCTCTGTCACTGTAAAACTGAAAGCTACTCAGTGGCTACCACACCTTGGCTTTCTATTGGTTTTCTTTGGTGAATAAATGAGATTACATTGTCCTCACCCCCATTCTATCATAAAGCGTTTGGTTTTAGAATACTTCCTGGAGATTTTGCTTCTTATAAATAACTTAGAAAAAAAAAACACAAACGTTTCCTAGATGGCATTTATTGCTCTAAACAGACTCTTAGGTTGCCTATTATTAAACATATCTATTGTGATAAACTTTCTAAAAACTTTGAATTATGCAGGTGATTCCCACTATTAACCATCTTTACCCCCTACATGCTTATAAAGTTTAGAGTTTTGCAGATTGTTCTGTTGTTGTGTGTTTTTCTTAATGCCTTGCTTCCACCTGTGAGAGAGGTATCTTTAAGCCATGTTGGAAGTAGAAACCTAATATGTAATCTTGACCCAACAGGATACTGCCCTTGGTGAGGCTTTCCTGCCAGGATTACTCACAGTGATTCTGGAATGCCATTTCACTGCTGCAGGCGTTCCTCACGGCTTAAAACAGGCACCTTAGTATTAGGACAATGAGCTTTATTGTCTGTGATAAAAAGGTCAACAGTTGTTTTATTAGTTGATAAGATATATTGCATGTAAGATGACAATTAAAGGGCTAAATGTCAAAGCTTGGAAGAGCTGCTTACCTTCGTCCTAACAAACCTGAGGTACTAAATGCTGAATCGTTGAATCACTTTAAAAAGCTACAAAGTAGAGTAAAGAATATAAATGTGAATAGAGTACAGAATATGACATGATGGATGGCTTCTTAAATGTATTATCAGAATTGTCAAATAAATTAAGTGAACCTAGTGAAGTATACTAAACTTAATGGGTTTTCTTGGAGGGTTAATTCGAAGTTTTTTTTTAACAATTAGTGACAAATATTCAGTAATTTACTCAACTGGGCTGCTTTTTTCAATTTTCATTGGGAAACTGTATAATTATTGACTTGCTGATCCAAAAAAACTACTTTTTCAAAAAGGGATAATTTAAATAAATAATATTTTCATACTAACATACTAACATATAGTATATATAGAAAGATTGGTCTCTACCAGGTGATATCCAAGATAACTAACCTGAAATTCTAGAAAGAAGAGGCTATTTGTAATTCACTCCATTCTCTTCTTGAACAATAAACAGTCACATTTTGACTATGTGTGTGATCTACAATATTGCCCTCTTCCCTGGGCATCTGTCATCGCTCCATTCAGGAGTGTAACTATGCACTCTCTCACTTAATTTGTTTCTTGACTTTCTTATTTCTTGACGATGAACCAGTTTTTCCATGAAATTATTTTACGAATGGTGGCCAGTGTCCTGTTTTAGGGATTGTCTTACATGCTATATAGCAAGAAGGTCTATAGGACAAAGAGAGGAAATAGTGCACTAACACAAAAACGAAGCATCAATTAATTTAATACTGAGTGTGTAGTTTTAAGTCATTTTATGGCTCCCCAAAGTAATGTGCCCTTGCTTTTCTAACTTGTGTTGAGAAGGAAATACATAAGCCTGAATGCTCATTTGCAGATAACCCTAGCAGCGAGACCAAACAGTATGCCTAGAGATTCAAGAGGCTTTTGTAGGAGATGTCCTCCCCTGGAAGATGGGAGAGAATATTGTGCTTGTAATGACCATAGCATCATGCCCAAGGGATCCCAGAGGAAGATGCCACAAGTCTTCTGTCAGTTCTAGTTCTCTGTTACGCTGAACTTTCTCTATAACTTTGGAAAAGTCATCTCAATCTCTATGTACCACACCTTTCTTATCTGTGTAATCTCTTAGTTCTTTTAGCTTCAAAAGGATATGCACTGATGAATTGAAATTGGTTTGTCTGAATTCCCCTGAGAGCCTAACTGCTGAGGATGGCATAATGTGGGAAAAACACATCAGAGCTCCAAGCGTGCAATTTCAGGGATGCTTTTAAAATCTACACAGGCATGGAGACTGTGAAACACTAGACCTGTGGATGGTTTACAAGTCAAGTTAGAAAATTCTAGAACTGAAGTGTGAATAATCCATTTCTGTATTGATTAATCGCAGACCCCAGAGGGTATAAGTGAAGAACAGAGATCTCAGGAGTTGGCTGCGATGGAAGAAACCCGGATGGTCATTCTGAACAACCTCGAGGAACTTAAACAAAAAATCAAAGACATAAATGATCAGATGGATGAATCTTACAGAGAGGTAAACTTTTTTACCCTCTTCCCTTTTTTCTTGCTTTCCTTTAGCCTAAAAATATTGCTGCTCATTCATGCACAGGCTTTGGAGTCCAGATACATAGACATCAACATAAGCAAACCCATTTATTCAGTGGGTTCCCTGTTTAGAGTAAAAATACCCTTTTTCTACATTCCTTTTTTTCTGTTTTTTTTTTTTTCCAACCAGATGAGATAAACATATTAAGCCCTCTTTAATGTACGTTATGAATCTTCAACCAACTTTGTCTTAACTAGTATGTGCTTTCTGACCTAACAGAGGATCTGTCAGCTGAGGTGCCCTGTATTTACATTTCAAGGTCAAATGCAGCAAATGTTTTCTGAACATGCTTTACCGTGAGTTGGATATCACATTGGCACCATGATGAAATTCACACACGGATCAAAAATAGATCCAGGTTTCTAGAGGTTTGGAAACCAGCGGGGAGCAGACAGACACACATTGCATAACCATAATAGAAGACAGTGGCAATTTTTATGTTACTCCCATGGCATGAGAAGGGGCACGTAATTCTGCCTAGGGAAGATCTGTGTGTCTGTCCTTACAGATGATACCAATAGGCCCTTAAGTGGTTAGGGGACTGCTCACCTGTTGTCTTGCGTGGAGATGCTGGAAGCCCCTCCTGCTGGCATTGCGAGGAATGCAGAGCTCACATGCTGGGCTGGGGTAACTTTCTCTTCCCATGCTCTAGGGACAAAGAAAAAAAGACGTGGCTGCTCCCATGGTGGTTTGTGCTTGATCTTGAGCCGAAGCAAATAGGCAAAATATCCTTGAGAAGTGAGCCGAAGAGGGATTATAGTAGAAAAGTTAAGTGATAAGATAACTAGTTCTTTTAGTGAATATATTCTAGGCTCTCTAGCTTTCTTATATGGGAATCCTGATTTCACATGGGCTCTCTGGAGTGTTCCCAGGCACCCGATCTGGCTGCTACAGTATTACTTTTACAAATTTGTAGCTGTTGCAAATGTATCTCTAGGGTGGTCAGTTGAGAATATCCCCAAAGGTGAAACACTTCTGAGCTTTGGTTTGTGTCCTTAGTTGGATATGGAATGTGCTCTTTTGGATGGAGAACAGAAATCTGAAACAACTGAACTTATGAAGGAGAAGGAGATTTTGGATCATCTAAACCGGAAAATAGCTGAACTGGAAAAGAACATTGTTGGTGAAAAGACCAAGGTAAAAGAAAACTATATTCTGATGCAATTTTTATGGGCAAGGTGGTGGTCCCAGATTGAATTTAAATGTTGAATGGGTTACTGTGGTTTTGGATTTGTGTGTCATGTTCCTGGAGACAGTGGCACTAGAGAAAAATCCTAAGATCTTACGTTGTCAGAAACTAAGAACTGCCAGGTACTGGGCAGCTGATGCTGAGAAAGCAGAGCTCATATAATTTGTGAGCCGACGTTCCTGGCAGCTTTATCCTACTTGAGATGAGTGAGTTGTTTGTTTGCTTTTTTCGTTGGCCTTTCTGCTTTTCTGATTCCATTGTGTTTTTTAAGTAATTTTTTTAGTATACTGAAGTTCTTTACCACTGCTGCCCTGTAGGGATGGCTCAAGCAAATTCAAATAGGGTTGCCTCATTTCTTTTCATTTTTCTGTTTATTAAACAGATGAATGAGAACCATCCATCTCACCCGCTTTGCCTTGCTATTGTTTTCAATGCAAGTGCACTGCTTGTTGACAAATGTATTGGAATTTCTAAAATTTTCTTCTGGGGGTAGTCTCACACACTGCCAGAGAAAGCTATCTGTGAAGCACAGTTGGCACTTATCTTGGAAGAGGTCCTGTGTATACATTTTGGATCACAACCTGAATGGTGGCTGATATCTATTAGGGAAAGTATGAAAAATCACTTGCAGATTTTAGAATTCAGGATAGTAGTTGGGTTTTTGGTTTGTCTGTTTATGTGTTTTTTTCCTCTGGGAAATACACATTACTTTCCTCTCCCATTCTGAGTGAGTTAGAACTGAACTAAAAATAAAATTCTAATAAAACTAAAAATAAAATTCCAATTTGAGAAGGAAAAAGCAAATAAGCTTTAACACATTCTTCCTGACTCAACATGTTCTCCACTAAACTGAGAAAAAGAAAATTTTTTTAGTTTGAGTAAGTTCTGGTGGTAATGTGTAGAAAGTATTTCTGCTGAACGTGACTTCCTTTTTAGGCTCTTATTTGTTTAAGACCTATAAATAATGGCATTTGATCTTGGTGCCAGAGAATGAGCTCAAAGCGATGGTCAGAAATAAAAGTCAAATTAAATACTACACATTAATTCTTGGTTGTCAGCATGTCAGAATTAAACTGCACAGGCTTTTCATATTAAATTTTATGGATGTTCTTTCTGTCCCTAGACTTTTAAGTGGTATTCGGGTAGTGGGTGTATTTTTCTTAAAAGGCCAAAATGAAGTCAAAGATTTGACCGTCTTAAGTCTGCAGTACTGAAGGATTCAGTTAATGGCTATGCTTTTCAAAGATTCTGCAAGAAGCCTTCATCGGAGATGTCAGATGTCTTGTGTTAATGTTTTGCTGTCAAGTAAATACTAATTAAATCAATAGTAGAGTAGTTTTATTGCTATTTATGTCATATTGGAAAACTCATGCAACATAGGAATTGGGTATCATGTTCCCTGTGAACCCTCCTGCCATCCTAATCCATGTAGTTATTTATTTTGTGTGTCTCACATATGGCATGGCCTACAGATTCTATTTGTGTATTTCTCATTAGTATCAGATTCTACACAAAGTGAAGCAAATTGAGCCAATGTTAAATCTCACTTCCCAGGGAAAGTTATGTTATATTCTCAAGGGGGAATTCTCAGGTGGAATTCTACGAACATGGGCAGATACAAGCAAGGAAGCTGCCTCCATCCTTCCTAATATTGTTTTGATGACTTGACAGAGGCTGTGCACCAGAGAGCGGACTATAGGGGCTTGATGCATAGGACCAGCTCATACAGCTGTGAGGGAATTAGTTGGTCTTAGAAGGTAGGATTATTGTCTGTCATTACATCATGTGAAAAATGGCAGAAACTGGCTTAGGGTGAGGAACTCCAAAAGAGGATGTGGGAAGTGGAAACAAAGACTGGTCTAAATGATGTTACTACATATTCTTGACAACTAAACTCAAATAGAGATCAACACAGCTTGGCAAAAACATTGTTATGTTTCTCAAATAAATGTATTCCACCATTTAACGACATAGCTATTTCATACACTCTGTTCATACCCCTGGCCCGCTTTCGTCCCTCTGGCTCAGAGATCATCTTACCACCTGCTCCACAGAGAAATCAGAAGCATCCCATCTTCTCACAATGAACGGGGGCTCCCTCCTTCCATCAAAGACCAGTGCCTTTGGATGTGCTCTGGGTGTCATCCCATCCCACCTTCTTGAGGTCTTGAGTCTTTCTGCACCCTCACCCCCTGGGGGCAGTTTCTCCCTCTTTACTGTCAGCATGCCAATATTATTATTTTAAAAATAAGCCGGGCGCAGTGGCTCACGCCTGTAATCCCAGCACTTTGGGAGGCCGAGGCGGGCGGATCACAAGGTCAGGAGATCGAGACCACGGTGAAACCCCGTTTCTACTAAAAATACAAAAAATTAGCCGGGCGCGGTGGCGGGCGCCTGTAGTCCCAGCTACTCAGGAGGCTGAGGCAGGAGAATGGCGTGAACCCGGGAGGCGGAGCTTGCAGTGAGCCGAGATTGCGCCACTGCACTCCAGCCTGGGCCACAGAGCGAGACTCTGTCTCAAAAAAAAAAATAAATAAATAAATAAATTACTACTTGATTCATTAACAATAAGCTACTACCTTATCTCTTTCCTCTTAATCATAGCTAAACTTATTAAACAATTTTCTGGCTATACTGTGTCTCCTTTTCTTCATTTTCCAATTAACCATTCTTCCCACTCCAGTTGGCTTAGACCTCTACTCCTGCATCTGATTTTCTCCTGTTAAGACTACTAAAGACCTCAGTGCTGCCCAGCCTGCTGGGTGCTTTTCAGTCCCCTCATGATCAGACTCCTGAGCGGCATTCAGGGCAGGGGACAGCTCTTTTTCTTGGTGCTTCTTCACTGTCTCCCTTTGCTTTGCCTCTGTATACCACAGTCTTCTGGTTTTCCATCCATTTCCCTTTACCTCTTTCTCACTCTTTATCTCTGATCTGACTCACTTCTCTTGTACCCTCATGTCCTTCTATAGCTATGGCTTCAAATAACTTGCGTATGCTGGTGACTATCATAGGGATTTCTCTAGTTCATAACCCCTTTTTGGAACTCTGACTCATATCCTGTGCCTACCTGACATCCCTACTTGGATATTTCATGGGTATTTGCAATTGAACACACCCATAACTGAACTCTTGATCTTATCTTTTCCCTTGCCTTCCACCCTCCACCCTCAATCCTCCAGTTTTTCCAACCAGGAAATTGCATCTCTATTCACCTGTATGTTCAACAGAAACCTGGAAATTGATCTTGACACGTCTTTCCTTATCATCCCTACATTCAGTTGATTACCAACTTATTTCTCAATTACTTCAACATCTCTGCATGTCCACTAACAGCATTCTCTTCTCTATTATGAAAATCTCTTATTTAGTCCACTTCCACTTGCTTTCCTTCAATCCATTCTCTTCACAGCAGCCAATGTGATTAAAAAGAAGAAATTAGACCATATTACTGTGGTTTGTATCACACTGTGCTTGATTATGCATCCAAATTCCTAGTGTGATCTGTCACCAGCCTTTCTGTCACCACCCTCCCATTCTTCACAGCACTCTCACAGTCACCTTCCTTTCTATCTTTCTATTTGTTAAAAGATTCATCCTCCCCCAACCTCAGTCCTTTGCAGATACTGTTTTCCCCTACCTGGAATTCCCTTCCCCATATTCCATGCCTCATTGGTTCTGTCTTTCAGGGCTCAAGATCAGTGTTAGTTTTTCAGAAAAGCCCTCCTAGACCTTTCCAGTTCAAGTTAGATTTTTGTCTGTTGTTCTTTTTACAGATAAACATTTTATAAGTTATGTTTGTTTTGAGCCTACTAGACATTTATGTCCCACTCTAGCCTGTGAAATAGAGGAGGGCACTAGGGCACTGTGATCCACTGTTTATCCAGCCCATAGCATGTGCCAGGATACTGCCCAGTGTGCTTGGGAATACTGTTGTTGGATTTTCCTGCTAATGGCTAGTCCAGGCTGGGCCTTAGCAAAACACTGGGCCAAACACCTGCCAAATAGCTACGTGCAGCCAAGTTTCAGGACAGCTGGGCTGGGCCGCCCGTGTGCACATGCCAGGAGGCCTGTAGTCACACGGCCCATCATGCCAAAGCGTAAGACAGAAGGAGGAAGTGGCCTTTCCCCTCAGGGATCGTGTTTCCTTTTCCATACACCTGTTGCTGTGGTCAGATATAAACCATGGAATGAGAAAAGCAAAACCTGAAAAGAGATCTCTGTTGGGCAAGCTCCGATTCAGATGTTGATAGTACATCCTGTAAGCCTGGCTCTAGAATTTTGGAGACAAGGCTGGAGCCGTAGGAAAAAGGTTTAACAATACCTCAGAATGCCTCAGCATTCAAATCTTTTATTTTCTATTTTTTATCTTTTGGGACGGAGTCTCTCTCTGTTGCCCAGGCTGGAGTGCAGTGGCGTAATGTTGGCTCACTGCAACCTCCTCCTCCCAGGTTCAAGTGATTCTGTTGCCTTAGCCTCCCGAGTAGTTGGGATTACAGGTTCCCGCCACCACACTCAGCTAATTGTTATATTTTTGGTAGAGATGGGGTTTCGTCATGTTGTCCAGGCTGGTCTTGAATGCCTGACCTCAGGGATCTGCCCGCCTTGGCCTCCCAAAGTACTGGAATTACAGGCGTGAGCCACCAAGCCCGGCCATCAGCACTCAAATTTTGATATGAAATTACTGATGTTATTTTCTTGGCTCTGAAGATTAGTCTTTAGTATTACCTCTTTTAGCTGATTTAGGAATGCATTTTATTTTGCACATTCAGTGTAAGTTATGATTAGTATTTATTTATGTGTTACCATATAAAATATAAACCGTAGATATACTTATATAGAAAATATAAAATATAGTCAGTTTGTTTTACTGGGTATTTATTGAACATTTTTGCAGCAGTTTCTTGCACTGGCCTTTTATTACCCTTAGGGGTACCACTGTTAAGAACAT